TACCCACCGCTGCTTTTGCGTTTACTACATACAAGTTCAATTAAATGAAAATTTATTTTAGAAACAAAGAAAAATTAATATAAAATGACTTGCCAGTGGCTATAAAAGAAACCATATGTTTGTATGTGCATATAAATAGAGAGTGGACTATTAAATAAAGCAGAAGTTTGTACAAATTGTCAAAAGTACAAAAGCGTTTGTAATGCATTTTATTAAATGAAGTTAGAGGCGATTTGCGAAAATTAATTTAAAAAATGCCTCTAGACTAATATTGCGAAAACATGTATTCATAATAATGAGGCTGTGGCGAGTGGAATGGCGGATTGGTGGAGAGGCAGCTGTGGCAACTTAGAAGCGATTGTATGCAAATGTGACAGGCAACCAGTCTAGCTAGCAGCTATGCATAATAAAAGGAGTGAGAAGTAAATATTAAAATAGTTTGTAAAAAAGACATAAAACGTGCGGGTGTAAGCTAAAAACGGGATATTTGTTGGCGACCAGGAATAGCGGTAACAGCTGTAGCTGTGCGGCAACAGATTGAATTTAGTATAGTGACGAAATAGTGGTGAAGCGACTGTCGTGGGTGATGCTTTTTAGTACGGTTTTCTTTGGCAACGCGTGTTATTACTTTTCAACATTTTTTTCAGTTTGTCATCTGCCAAGCAAAGAAATTGCTTAAATTATCATACATTGCTTTGTTTGCCTTAAAGTCAGCTTCCGTGCAATTGCCGTGAAGAAATGAAAGTAACACATAACTGGAGGCGGAATGTTGTTGGGCCTATAACTATCATCGCGCTAAGTAACCCAAAAACGCTTCGAAAAGTTAGGTTCTTGTGCGTCTTTCTGAGTCTACATATGTATTAATTTGAAACTTAAGCAACAGTCATTTCGTTTCATTCAAATACTTGACCTACGCTCCAATCGAAGTTTAAAGAAATACTCAAATATGTCCGAATGTGTGACAGAAAAAATGTTTTTTATCGAGAGTTCTTCTTCAGTACTTTGATAGGAAGCCAACCTCAGCCAAAAGTCGTCGTATTTTGGTGAAAGCCCTTGCCGAGGTTGAACCAGAACGTTTATCTTTGTGGATGGATCTAAAAGTGGTAATTTTAGCCTGGAAAACGAAAAAAGTCGTGGGTGATGGAAAATTTTAAGGATGGTGAACTGCAGTCCCTCCTTGATGAAGGTTATTGTCAAATACAAGATGAGCTCTTAGAATTATGTTTTGAAGTTAAGAGATGATGAAAGAAACTTTTCGTGTTAGAAATGCTTAAATGGGAAATATAATAATTATATATGTGCTTAGCAGGAACAGTTCAGCAACTAAGACTTGTGCGACTGTGAAAATTGTCTGTCCCTAAGTGAACTGTAAGAGATCCTCCCAACAAATTGCATTTAGCAAAGTCAATGTTGCCGCGATTGTAGGTGTTCTGCCGAACACACACTATGATACTAAGTATTTACTTGAATGCACGTTGCCAAAGCAGTATGTATGTATTTCATCACCTTCTATTGGCCGCTGCATCTCGCATGTGCATTTGTCGGGCGGCGGACAGGATGTACGTCGCAATTTTTACTAGAAGCAAACATTTTGAAGAGATTCGTATTTATTAATAATTTATCTTCTAAGTAAACTAAAAATATTAAAAGAAACAGAAAACTAAAAATATTCCAAAAACAGCCAATTAAGTAAAATCGTAAAAATGAAAAACCGAGAAATCGCGCGTTAAAGTTTTCGCTTTTTGCCCAAGCGCTCATATACAATTGTTGACAACTAATTAGAAACCCTTTTTTTTTGTGGCTGGCTGATCAGTATAACGATACAAATTTTTGATATACCGTTATTTATATTCCTAAAAGACTTTAATTGTTCGTGTTACTCTATTTACTACTAAATTCACTCTGTTTCTTTTAATTTTTTCCCATTTCCGTTACGATATAGGAGGTGAATTAAATGCGACAGCTAATTAGAGACAGCTCTTTAAAGAATTCAAATCCATCAAGGGGTTAATTTTTCTTAATAATATTACTGATTTATAATAAGCCTGTGTTCCCAAGTTGTGGTTTAAAATATATTAAAATGTATTATTCAAGTTTTTTAATGAGGAAATGCTGTAGCTATACGCCCGCCCTACGTAGTTACATTTTTGACTTTTTGTCGGTCTGGAAATTTGTGCAAAGAAGTTTCGAATAAGGCCAAATGCTCGAAAATTTTTTTCGGATCATCCTTAAGCATATACGGAATTTCAAAACTATTTCCAATGTTACACGTGAAGAAAAAACCCTAAAATTTGCAACAGAAATAGACCATAGAATTAATACTAACTCGCGAAGGGACCCAAAAAATAGTTCCACTGACATTCTACATGAAATTCAAGAAGAATACATTGTCTAAATATCCAAGAGAACAATTGCCTGGCGTTTGGTGGAATCTAGACTTCGCGGCAGGAAAGCACGCAGGAACCCACTTCTGACTAAAATGACGACGCATAGACTTTGCCAACTCTTATTGGTTTAAGACAACAAATCAGCGGAGGTATGTCGTTTGGAACGACCTAACAAAAATTAATCGCTTAGGTCCTGACAGTCGAAGGTATGTTCGCCATCCAATAATTCGAGAATTTGATCCTCGCTATGTAGCACCGAGTATGGTGGAGGATCAATCATGGTGTTAGGATGTTTTATCTGCAATTGTGTTGGTCCTCTCCGCAAGATTGTTGGAATTTTTTAAACAAGGAGAAATACGTCGACATCCTGGAAAATGTCATGTTGCCATGGGCTGAGTAAGATTTGCCTGTTATAAGGAATATAACAATTCAAAGCATACTTGTTTGAACACAGGTTTCAATAAAAAAGTGAAAGTAAAATAAATACTTATAAATGATTTAATGGAATATAACATCATTTCCTTCAAACTAGATGTCTTTTATAATTAGTTGTTAACAGCTGTATCTGCTAGACGCTCGGTCACTTGGTGGGATTCCTAGCTTCGACAATATGTCGAACTCCCATCTCCCATCTATAAAGCTAAACTAAGTGCGTCGTCTTTAAATGTGTTTTTCTCGAAGCAGTGTTTTTGAAGTCGATTGGCAAGATTTCTCCAGAACGACTAAATCGATCTTCATGAATCGCAGGTCTTTTAAGTTCTCAAAGATTTGAACCAGAGATTTTTTTTCGATTACAACTGAAAAAAAAAAATGTCGCAAAACTTTCGTTGAAATTTTAAGTTTTTGGTAAAAATGCTTGCCAAAAATCCAATTTTCAGTTGTTTTTCCTTCGTCCAAGTTCTAAGTTAGGGTTTTAATTACACACGTGCTTTTTACTTTAGATGATACTGTAAGAAGTTGTCCAGACAGCGGGGGCTCCTCTTTTTTCCGAGTGCTCACCAAGAATGGCATTGCAATAGCCGATTTTAAAATATTTGTTTTCCAAAATTTCAGATTTTCTTTATTATTAGTGTGTGTTTGTAACAATAAAATATTCTAAGAAAATATTTTAAAAAATTGCCCAAAAAATGCTATTTTTTATCCGAGAAAACCCTTGTAACCGCTTAACGCGATGCTACCGATTATGCTCAGACATTCGATAGTTCGATAGAAACTTAATAATTTCTAGCTTCTTAATGCTGGAAAGACATTACATACACAATATCACATTTTATACTGCCACGTGACTTTTTAAGGTTTCATGTATGTATTTATGTATATAATTTTAATTCAACCCATACTAAAAATTATAACACAAAATTAAATTTAATTGTAAATAAAATCCGTTCAATTAATTTCGTTCTAATAAGGGAATAAGAATAGCTGAGATCTTACACACACACACACACACAACTAAAAATAATAGTTTGTGGTTGTAGCGCTTAATTATGCTTAATTACGTTCGGTACATCAATTTTCATGCTCACTTTCAAATTCATTTGTGATTTGTAATTCATTTTTAATTCAATTAGCACAAAAAGAGATGCGTATTTCAATTAGTTTTGTAATTGGTTAAATAGGAGTACGTGATTGTTTGACTGTTTACATGTATGGGTAATGATTAATTATGCATTCAGTTTGCTATGATGTTCAATAGTTTTCGCATTCCAGGCAATGCAGAATCCCTGCCAAACAGAGCAATCAGCTGCTAATTTAACAGAACTACGTATTCATATACAAATGTACATACATACACACATGMATATATGCAGAACAACAACGTGTCCAAAACGATTTTCGCCGATTCACTGTCGAATCGCTGCAACTATGAAAAGCGAAAACTTAATACCTCTGCATAGCGATTGTTGTTGTTGTGTGGCAGTAGCTGTCTCTACTCCATTCTCTAGCTTCGCACCCGCTCGAATGAATGAATATGTTAGTGTGTACGTGGATTGGATGAAAATATTGCAGATTTTTTGTGTCTGTTCACGTTAGTAGCTGGTTACCGGTTGCTGGTCATTGCATGTTGCATGGTTTATTCCGCTTATTGTTGTTACATGATCACGGGGTATAATGCCAACAGCAAAGTCATCCGATGATAGTCAATTACATGAATATAAATCTGCTGTTGCCACTGTTAGTTCGCGTGTCCTTCTCACTTACATTATGTATGTATGTACWTATGTACGTGCTGCTTATGTATGCATGTCAAATGCCAAAATAATGAGCTGCTCATGAAGGCACATAACGCTCGCAAATAGCTTAGATTATCGGAAAAACGTGGATCAATGCTGCAGCAAACACAAAACTGACTTTTACAGACTGTTACGCGTGTCATAATGTGATCCACAACATGAACACACGCCACTACAGCATTGCGCCGTTGTTGATGGTCCAATCTTTGTATTTCCATAATTCTGCTTCCCATTGAGCTATTATGAAAAGTGCTTTAGGATTTGATTGATTAAATTATTATTTTATTATCCCCTACTTTGGTTGTTATTTATTTAAACATGAGCTGGACTTAATTAATTAACATAAATAATTAAAATATTTTTTAATAACTCATTGCAGTTTTTAGTGTAATCACGCAGAAGCGATGGCATCTCACAAATTATTTTTAGTGTGTTTACTCTTGGCTGCAGTAGTGGCAGGTTACACGCAGCTACCGAATGAAATTTATATAGAAACAGTAGCGTATGGAGCACCACATGAAACAGTTAAGACAATGGCGCCGGAAGATGTTCCGAAATCGCGTACAAAGCGCGGCATATTTTGGGACTTTTTTCAGAAAATGGTGACGACTAAAAATTTACTTGTTGATGTGAGTATTGTTGCAAATGAAAATTTTTAAAAAATTTTCTTACAAATATTACATAGTACACATAAACATATCTGTATCGTCACCTAAAATGCAAAATAACGTGACATCACTTTTCGTAAATTTACAGAGGATGGAAAAACGATATACTATTCATATCGAAATAAAGTTTGAGTTTGGCTCATAAAATGGTTATATCATTGGTTATATCAAACAGCGGAAGCTGAAAATTTTATGCTACGTGTATGTAATATGATGTAGAGAATCATCAGCAATAAAAAAATGAAAATCGATTTTTTGATGATACGTTATTTGACATCTTAGGGGACAATATACATAATATAATGACATAAACAGAAATTCTAGTATACAGGAAAGTATTTTATTTTATTCGAAAACCACAAGGAATGGAGCCTGACAACAAGTGATCACTACTTCGTTTTACAATAGCGATTGATTTTGATTTTCAAAGAATCGCTTCTAGAAAAGCTTGTGATAATAAACTGTCAAAGTTTTTCTCCAATGGCGACGAGAATTGCTTTTAGAATGGCATTATAAAAGTACTTTCAGTAGTTATCGAACAAAATATTGCTTATTTCATTAAAATGGAATAATTATAAATACTGCTGTGATCAAATTTAAAGCTGAATTTTGTCCATTTTCACTCCTGTAATACAGTTATGCCAACGAATTTTCCAGTTCCAAAATATTTAGCACACACTAGTTTGTCTTGGCTCTCCAATGATTAATAAATAATTTATATAATATATATTTTCATGAAGTTTCATGTACCTAAATTATGTACATTTCGTCAGACATCATGAAATATTTACTACTCTAAGAATTCTGTAAAACACGAGAATACTTGTACTAATGGAGTGAGTGAGTCGATTTAGACTGCCCGTCTGCCTTTCTGTAAATATGTGAATGTCTTTTAGCTGTTGAGATACTGATCTCAAATTTTCTTTACGCCCTTTTCTATTAAATAAGCTACGAAATAAAGTTCTTATATAGAAACTTTTTTATATATTAAAATTATTATTGCTTCGGTGCAACCGAAGTTAAAGCTTCTTCTTTTCCGATATGTCTAATTCTTAATACTGTCAGGACATTATTTCTTTAATTGCAGCAATATGTTGACACCAGAGACACACTTAGCGACGTCTACAATTTACTGAATGAAGGATTCAGCGATCCAGCGCCGCCAAAAGCGACTATAAGGCCACCTACAAGTACAATGGTAATTGAAATTAAGTGATTTAGTACAATCACCGTAAACTTTAATGATTGTAAATAATTTATATGCTAGAAAACAAGCGATGAGGATCAGTCGGGCAGCGCGGAAATGTCCACCACAACCGAGGCTTACCGAGTGTCACGCTATGAATTGGGACGCATTTTGGGGCGCAACTTCCGCGGTTTGCAGCGTTTGACCAAAATCGAGTTCCAGGATGCATTTAATGTAATAAAGAAATATATATTTTTTTTTACTAGAAATTACTGAATTGTTGATTTCTCATATACATAGCAATCGCACTACAACATACAGGAGTATAAAGAGGAAGCGCGCAAACAATTCGCAAATAGTGTTGGTGTGGAGAAGGTGAACAAAATTAAAGGCTTGAAAGCGGCTATCGCTGGCTGAGATGAAGCTTACAATGAGTATGTGTACATATTTCATGCCGTAGGAAAAACTTTAAATAAGTATGCATTTAAGTCTCAGAAGCTGCTGTATGTTCAAATATATATGTAAATACTGCATGTATTTATTCTTTTTTAGAATATTATGCTAAATTTTAGAGAATATCATAGTTTTAAATCAGCTACCGGCAAACTTGTGGAATGTATAGAATGTGTTCTACATTTTTATTTGCCTATTTTAATGAAAACTATGCAGTCGATAAGAATTTTTTATATTTTAGGCGGTTTAGTTGGAAATTATTTATTCTGTGATAGAATTTTTTTACGTAAAAATTAAACGATAAGAAAATTAATAAATTTCACTACTTTTGTACATAATAAAAAAAAAAATAAAAAGATTTTTTTTGTTTTCATTTTTAGATAGAAGTCCCTGACATATACATAATTGTTGTGAAAACAAAATTTATTACAAACGATAAAATCAGAAATTATGGCAATTGTATGAATTCTGATATGGTAAATAGCAATATTGCTGGTCGCAAAAAAACTATTAAATAGCGGATAGGCTCGTATCACATAGTTTTTGGACTTTGGCAAAACGCAAATCAATTTCCGAAAGAATGAGCTTTTTTAATAGGAAATAACCAATTGCAAGATCTCTTTACCTTTCCGTATTCCCTTAACAGCATCACAGTTAACTGTCAATATCCAAAGCAACCACTCAACTTTTCATTGTATATTTTTACTGCAATGTTGTCACCTCTTAAACGAGGTTGAATAAACTTTTTGAAAATGTGTTATAAAGTACATACATTTATACATTTGTAGTGGTGTGCGTAAACTAGCGTATTCCCAGTGTCAGCACATTAATACCCAGATGTGTAGACGTTTTCTTTACAAAACTTAAGCAAATACGTACACACTTACAAACACTTAGTGGCTTACTTTTAGCAGCAACACATCCACCAGATAATAACACATCAAATTAAAAAGTTTATGTCAGAATTTTATTGATAAACTTTTGGTGGCAATAGTTGTCGTCGTAATCGTCGTCGTCATTCGAAATGTTGTTGTCGTCGTTGCCACTTGTCGCATGCTTTGTTGAAGACATCATCGTGTCGCATGCCAGCAACTTTGGGTTCGTTTATCCCGTCTGGGATGTGCCAGCAGTCAAACATAGTCAGCCAAGAAAAATTAAAACTTTAAAAACATAAAATCATACAACGAAAGCACAATGCCCAGGAACTGCCAACAGACATACTAGTTATAAGCGGCAGCCAGTAGTTGCCGATGCAACAACACTCACAAATCAAATCACTAGTGTTTGCACTAGAGTAAGAGTTTTGCGATTTTTTAAAAACCACTAAAAGTGTCATAATTCGATACTCACGAGACAACTGCCTTGCCGCTTTTCTTTTTTGTCTAGCGATTCCGTGCATGACTTAGTTCTCCAAGCGCACAGTGGTTTTAGTCATACTGAAATGATACTTTCTAGATTTAAAATATTATAAAAGCAAGAAAACGTGAATTTTGATTATAACAAAGCTAGAACCACCTTCACAAATAATACATTTTCTATACAAGTGAATGATTTTGATCTGTTCGTATGACAGCTATACGCTATAGTGATCTCATCTGAACAATTTCGAAGAATGCACCATTGCCTTGGATAATATAATATACCGGATTTCTGGCAGATATTTCGCCAAATAAAAATCTTTCTATCTAAAACAAAGTCCAAAGTTCATAATGAAGTTCAAAGCACTTCATTTCGAATGTTCGGTTTATACTATATGCTCGATATGCTAATAATTTATACGAGTACATTTCGTTCGGGGTGTTGCAAAATTTATGGCAAGCTTGTTCTTCAAGTCATTGCTTAAAATTTCGAGAAAATTTGTCAGATCAGTCAACTTCAGGATATATCTATTGTAAAAACTAACCGATCGAACTCAAACCACAAAATTCAGCATGTATTGTTATCTAAGGTATTGCAACAATGTATAAACATATTGTTAAGATCGGATAACTATAGCATATCGAACTCAAGGTAATGATACTTTTCTACCCGTTTGTACACTAAAGAATAACCGTGGAGTGGCGTATACAAAACTTAAACACTGTAGCAAGAACTTCAATGTATTGTTAGTCCGTCCGACAGGAAACTTTTCGCCGCAAAACAAAAAACAAAAGAAAACCGAATGTTGGAATGTTTGTCAAGTTTCGAACAAAAGCACAAATGGACCAAACTTAAGCGAATGGCACACGGATCACTGCAATTGCAACTCCAACACAGAGTCGTAGCTGAAGTAAAACTGCAGCTGCGGTTAGAACTGCAACTGTGCGAATTGACGGTTGACTCGAGGTACCGATATATGTGAGTACTGCGATAGCGACTGCAGCAAGAGACCCGTAGCAGCACTTGCGGGAAGTAGATCTATATTGAAGGTATATATATCTGTATATACAATTGTACTTGTGGGTAGGTGTGTTCAACAAAAAAGTTGTGCATTAACAATTCACAAAATAAAAGCATGCGAAGCGCTGTTAAAGCAAGGCGAGAACAACTGAACATAGCATTGGTGGTAAGCTTATGGTACACCAAGCGAAGCCACTTTGCTCCGCGTTGCGGTATATTGACATTGTAAGCTGATTGTGTGGCGGCAGTGTCACTTGTGTTGGAAGTTCGAAAGTTTTCCACTGACATGCAGTAGCGTTACGACTTCCCGCCGCTCACACACACTGCTATAAACTAAGATGCAGTTTGGGTTTGAAAGCGTAATATCTACTACAACAAAAATGCATGCATAGTATGCGGCATCGGAAAATCTAAATTCTTCGACAACTTCGGTCGAAGAAATTTCTTATCAAATTAAGGTGTTTCAGAAAAATGTTAACTTCCCTCATTAAGATTTATTATACTCTAAGAAGGATGTGTGCAAAATTTCATATCGATGCCTTAAAAACTGAGGGACTTTGATTGATATGCAGACGGTCAACAGACGGAAGTGGTTTAGGTGCAAATCTTTTGTAGTAACCTAAAAAAACGTAGAGATATCTGCTAAGCAAGGCCCTCTACTGCTGCAGTCACTTCAGTCTTCTCCGTGGATGAAACCTAAACTAGAATATTTTCTCTGTATAATAATCTACTATCAAAAAAATAATCAAAAACAGACAAAATGAAAGCGATTTAAGCACAAAAGTGGAATTTGGTCTTTTTCGGCTTGATCAGAAATTCATAGGTCATTGTATATTGAATTATATACAGAACAGGCAGAAAAAATTCATAATTATCAGATCATTTGTTAGTTTTAAAGGTATAAGCTATTGAAATATAAAAAAAAAAATCATTGTTTTTTCTAAATTTCGCACTAAGTGTAACCTGTTTCTAGACTAGCAATTCATTTTCATCTTTAATAATTTGGTGAAATGTCTTTCTAAATCTAAGATTTAGGGATATAATCTGTGGATGCTCCTAAACGAGAAAAAATACGAAATTTTGAAACCTCTTTATCAGAACATCAGGTATTTAATATTTGAGTATTAATAATCAATATTTGAGTATTATTAAATACCTGATGTTTTTATATTTCTTAAATGAGAAAAAAAAATACTCAGCTTTAGAAATTTGTTAATCAACATTTGCAACATATCATAATTACTTACACTTTTTTAAAAATTTATATAAGACATAATTAAATTTTTTCCAGTGTGTTCACTATTTTTATTTAGAGACATGCAAGTGTTTGTCTTTCGGCACTACTCTTCTGCCTGAAAGTATGTAATAACTTAGCAAGTTGACTGCCGTCTCTCTTTACATATTATAAAGTTATAAACAAAAAATCTACATATAACTTATTTAAACAAAATATATAATTAGCTTGTAAATAACCATTAAAAAAGAACAAAATTTCTGATCAACGGTGTCTAATTTGATAGTAAACAACTTATTTTAACATCAAAATAATTCTATATTAAAAATTAAGTTTTGATCACGACAATTTATAATTGATATATTTATTGTATTTTTGAAATTGGCAAATGTATTTCTGAGCGGTTTGAAGTGAGGTTTTTGTACTGTAAAAAAGGAATGTTTTATAAGTAAATTATGTAACGCATGTTATTTAGTATTACAAATATCTAAATATAAAGGTTGTGTTCAGACCAGAGGGTATGAAACTCAACGTGGAGAACTTGCACTCTCCGCCTTTTTGTGGTTGATTGATCGTCGAAAGTTTTTTCTTCACAGAAAAAGAAAGTGGCCAGCAATATCAGCTTTCTTTCCGTAAGACTCGAAATCCACGCGTACGCAAACTGTCAAAGTACAGTTGTATCCAACCACTGTTTTCTTCATTGTCATCATACTTTTGGCGAACCAGAAGACATAGCAAAATTTGGCATTAGCCGCCGTCACAGACTCAAAGCGCATAATCGATTTATGTGGGTATTCTACTCGAAAATTCGACTTTTTTCCATATGTTTAAAATTTAGACCCTTAAGAACATATCCTCCAAAGGATTTTTAAAAATTATAATTATCTTAAGAGCTACAGTTACTTTAGTGACGCAGTACCTAGACCGGTAGGTAGGTGTACTCACTTTTTTAAACGCGTTTTTCTGGAAACTACTTTTTTCCACAGCATTATCTCAAGTTCTATACAACCGATTTACTTGAAATTTTGTGTGAACCCTCTTTAAAAAAATAATCCTTTATCCTTTATCATCATATAATATTTAATTCTTTTTTTTTTTAATATTAAAAAAAAATTCAGGAATTTCAAAAAAAAAAATTAAAAATGATTTTTATTTTCAGGCAGTCGCCATTTTTCAAAAACACTTTTTTCGTGTTCCCTGAAATAGGGACTATCACAGCACCCTTACTGATTAAGAATCAGGATCAATGTCACCAGGATGCGCCCCCTCCTCCTTCTAATTATTTTAATTTTTAATATTTTTTTTTATAAATTAATTTTTCTTTATTCTTAAGATATGAATAAAAACCCCATAAAGAAATGGATAGTAAAAATATTTCTGTTTTTTTTTTTAATAAAATTCAAACAACTGTCCAAAATTTCATTTCTAGAGTAGAATACCCCCTTATGAGGGTCCTTATGATCAATTTGTTAGAAGTTCTAGATACCACGAACGGTTATAAGCTGTTCAATTGATCCCTTTTAAGAGCGAAACATTTAAGTTAACCCAACTTAACAACGAATTTAATTATCTGAATTTATTTCTCTATTTATTTCTGAAACTTCACATGAAGACTGAAGTTATGCTGGCTA